AAGTAACAACAGCAAGATGGCAGAGTCGCTTCCTTTCAGTCTGAGCCAAGATGCCAGGTCCCACCTGAGACTCCTGCTCTGGCTCCAGCCTGGCCCAGTCCCTCCCACCTTGTAGGTGGTGGGCATGGGGCTCCCAGTGAATCCACAAGTTTAGTAATCCACACGTATTTGCGCCTGGTACACATTCTGGAAACTTCTCAGCGAGGTCCTGGCCTTTAGCTGTTGGCAGTGCGAACCACACGTGGTGGGGGCAGAGAGCCTGGGGATCTGTAGACCTGGCTCTGGGCCCCATTTCACTACAGGTTCACTAACACCCTGGAGCGCCTCAGTTTCCCCATCTACAAAAGGTTCTGATTGTGCTGCATGACTAAGTGGGGGCCACCTCACCATCCCATCCCCTAGTCCTAGGAGGACAAACGCTGAAAAGAGAGCTAGGAAGCACTCACTGGGGCACATAGCCAGACTCGGCCACAGATCGTCCCCTACGAGGACATAGCTAGCATGGAACTACAAGCTGTCTGACCTGCAGGAGGCTAGGAGCGGTAGGATGGTCTCCTCAGCCAGCAGCACCTGTCCTGGATGACCCAGAGAAAGTCACCAGGGAACTCCCCTCCAATTACCCACAATTACCCCCTTGGAGCCCAGCCACCTCTGCCTGGCATGCCCCTCTGCCCCACACTTCCACCCACGGCACCTCCCCATCCAGTTGATGGCTCCCCACACCTGGTGTGTGCCAGGCTGCTCTGAGCACACACAGCTGGGCACCTGCTCAGGAGGGGAGCCACTCACAGCGCAAGTGTCCCAGGGACGCATGTGGTCCAATCCTCGGGCTCCTGGTGCATATTCCAGAATTTTCTTGGTGGGATTCTGGCATGAGGTTGTTATGGGCACCAAGCAAGTTACAGAATAACAGATACTATAAAGAGGTCTCACTTGGGCACAGAATGGGGCCTGGAGCCGGAGGGGAAGGGGGACAGAGAAGAAGCTGGTACTTTATGAGAGGAAGGTCAGAGAACACTTGCTAATCAAAACTTGTGAGAGCTAAGGAATCAGACCACACAGATCTTTGGGGAGAGTGGTCCAGGCAGAGGAACAGCCTGTACAAAGGCCTCAGCGTGGCAGGATGGGGCCTGGAGAGTTGTAGGAACAGCTAGGAGGGGAAGGCAGGAAGGGGAACGGGACAGGAAGTGCAGGGCTCTGTAGGCCTCAGGGAGGGCTCTGAATTAGCCTTGAGGGAAGTGGGTGTCCTGGAGGACTGTGGGCAGAGGAGGGACTGGCCCTGAGTCAATCTTTAGTGGGATTCTTCCGGAATGAGCTGTAAGGGGCATGAGAAGAAACAAGGCTGCACAGGTCTAGGAGGGCGAGGCTGGGGCTGGAGCAGGTGGGGCCCACAGCATTGGCCACCAGATTGGGGGGGGGAAGACCCTGAGGGGTCGGTAACAAAGCCAACTGCCCTGGGGCACCACTGAGGCAGGAAGGCATGCCCCCACTAAAAAACAAAACACCCCCACTGCCATGGAGTCCATTCTGACTCACGGCACCCCACGTGGGGCAGGGTAGAAGCACTCCCCAGGGTTTTCTTGGATACTCTACAGTATCGCTATGAGTTGGAACCGGAACCGACTCCACGGCACTTAACGCTGTAGTGTGGCGCTGTAGGATAAGCACTGTACTGCAAGGTTGGTTTGAACCACAAGGTTAGCGGTTCAAACTCACCAGGAGCTCCTCAGAAACCCTACACAGGGTTGCTATGAGTAGGAACTGACTCAACAGCACTTAATAACATCAATCTTTATGGAAGAGATCACCAGACCTTTTTTCCGTGGTACTGATCAGTGAGTGGTTCAAAGCGCCGACCTTTAGTTGAGCATAAACTGTTGAGGGACCTTGAGCCCAGGCCAAACCCCACAGGACTGGGCACAGCCCTGGGGCACTGCCAATAAGGCCGCTGCCACGGAGTCCTTCTGGTACATTCCAAAGAGAACGAAGCAGGAAACCATGACTTTATATCAGGTCTCGAGATTCCAAACAGTGACAAGATGCATACCACCGTGCATCAGAGTGGCCCAAATGAGGTCAATCCCACAGGGAGTGAGCCACACTGTGAGGGGGCAGGAGGGCTCCGTGGGCCCTGGCGGATGGACTGTCACCTACTCTAGCCCTTGTTGGAGACCACAGAGCATTACATAGTAACTTCTATATCTGCCTAACCCTGGCCCAGCCATTGCATGGCTAGTTAGGATGGTACCCAGGGTTACAAGTTCGCATTCAAAGATGTTTATTGCGGCCTTGCTTGTAACACCAGAGTCCCTGGGCGGTTCAAACTCAGCTGCTAGCTGGAAGGAAGGCTGGTGGCTCGAATCTACCCAGAGTCTCTCGGAAGAAAAGCCTGGCCATCTACTTCAGAAAAATCTGCCACTGAAAACCTATTGGAGTGGTTCTACTGTGACACACATGGGGTCACCATAAGTTGGAGCTGGCTTGACGGGCAAACGTTTTTCTGGCTTGTAACAGCAAAGGAACACTCCAGAAATAACCAGAACACTCCTCTGTGGGAGGCTGGTGGGCTGGATAACAGCATATGCGGAAAGCTGACTGCAAATCCTCGACAGCATGTGTTAAGCTAACATATTCAGTCCTGTGTGACTCACTGAAGGCTCCCAGCCACCCTGAGTTGGGTATCATCATCAGCATCACCCCCATTTCATAGATGGACACACTGAGGCTGAGGCTGGGGGAGACAACTGAGAGGCTGAGCTGGGCTTTGAACCCCAGGTAGTAAACTCCAGAGTTTCTACCTTCCGCCTTCATTCTCTGCTCTGAAGAAAATAACTAGTACTGATGTTGGGGGGAGGGGGGAATGAAGCTGAGAATATTATGGATAACAAGTTACAGCATTACAGATATAGTGCAAAACAGGGATTCTCAACTGGGGGTAAGGAGCTCTGGTAGTGTAGTGATTACCAGTTGGGCTGCTAACCTCAAAAGTGTGCAGTTTGAAACTACCAGCTGTTCCATGGGAGAAAGATAAGGCTTTCTGCTCCCATAAAGATTTACAGCCTCAGAAATCCTATACAGGGTCGCCACGGCACACCAACAACAACTGGGAGTAATTCTGCCCCCCAAAAAGACTCTGAGCAATGTCTCGAGACATTTGCAGGTGTCATGACTGGGGGTAGGGCATCAAGCGAGGAGTGGAGACCAGGGATGCTGTTCAACCCTACCCTATCCAGGATGGCCCCACCCCAGACAAGGATCGGGACCCATATGACCACAGTGCCAAGGAGACGGACCTTGGTAAAAAGAACATTATGTGTTTATACATGTGCAGAGCAATACAAAATGTGGGGCAGTTATATCCAAACTGCTAGCTGGAGAGCTGGGCTTAGACGGGGCCAGGCTGCCCATCATTTTTAAATGAGTAAAATAAATGATTAGCCGATTTCAGAGTCAGATTTCTGAGGAATTCTAGAGGTAGGGAGGGATGAAGAAAAGCCAGCTCCCTATGCAGTTTACCATCCAAGCACAAGCTGGAAGCAGGGACTTATCTGCCCCTAGTCAACTCCTTGAGCCCCTGATAAGACAAATGTTTGCTGTGGTTTTCTTGTGGTCAGCGACTTTGGGGCTATTTCGCCTGGCCTGGACCAGAGGGCGGAAGTCAAGAGGCCAAGAAGGAGGGGCCCTTGGCCCTGCTGGGCTGGCCAACCTCGTCTGGCACTGGCCAGGCCAGGCCATCCACTGCTGGCAGAGAATGAGGGCGAGGCACCTGGAATTAACCGGGTCATCTACCAAGTGGTTCCAGATGGCAGTGGGGAGGAGCCCAGAGATCGCTCTCTCCCTCCCTCCCTTTCTCCAACCGTTTCTCTCTGCTCCTAGTCACCGCATACAGCACCCCTAGCCTGCCAAGGAAGCTTCGGGAGGCCCAGGGGAGAGAAAGGATGGGTACCCGTGTAAGTGTCCGCAGAAGCTGCCAAAGGGGCTGGGCAGACCAGAGGGGTTTTCGGATCAGCAAACTTCCTATTTGGTAGCTTGTGGCCTCGGCTGAGGCAGATTCTGCACGCCACCCCACAAGAAGGCAAAGACCACTCCCCACACCTGTTATGCTGGGTGGGGTTGTGGCAAGGTGAGGGATGGATAACCACGGAACCATGCTCCCTCACCCAGTGTCCAGAGAGAAGGCAGGAGGACAGGACACTAAGGTTTCCTGCCCCCACATGCTTGCCCAGGCTCAAAATAGCACCCCGTCAAACCCCTCATTTTAAAGAGCAGGTATACTGAGACCCAGAAAAGTTAGGGGCTGCTCAGCGCTCCAGAGCTTGGGTATGGTGTCTTCTAGGAACGGACAAAGACAGGGGGCTGACGGGGATGGCCTTAAAGACCCCACCTGCACGCTCAGCAGCTCCTTCCTTTCATGACCAATCAGAGGTACCCATGGGGGTGACGCTTTGTGGTGGGAGACCAGGACGCCAGACCAGGACGCCGGTACTCGAAGGGGGGGCGCTCGGAGCTGTGGGTCACATCTGGGGCAATGTCACCCCCTTGCAGGCCCCCTCAGCTGAATACAGTAACCCCACCATCCCACACACTGGAAGCTCCCTCTCGACATAAAGAGTAGGGTAGCTCACTGACCGGTGTCCAAAATGGGGCATCCCACCCTTCCCTCCGGTGACACCCCAAAAGCGAGGACCGTCTTGCCCGCACGCCTCCAAAAGGGGCTGATGCATCCAGACGCCCCGAGCTCGTTCTCCGCCCGGCGCGAGGCCCTAGAATGGGTGGTGCCGCTCCGAGGTTTCCAGGGAGAGAGGTTCCGTCATCCCCGGACCCCGGAGTGAGCCACCCCATCCCCCCCGCGAGCGCCCCCGAGTGGAACACTCCGGCCTTCCCACCGCAGCGAGTCCACGCGCCCCTCCAGCCCTCGGGCGGGTCCACTGGGCCAGCGGGGGAGCTCGGGCGGGCCCATTAGGGGCGACGGGAGGGACGGAGAGATCCGGAACCGTTACCTGCTGCCGCGCCGGTCTCTGCGGCCCACGCCGCCTCCGAGGTCACGGCCCCCGCCTCGGCGCTCTCCGCCTCGTCCGGCACCTCCAGCTCCATGGCCGTGCGCGCGGGCCGAGGCGGGCGGCCGGGAGCTGCTAGCCAAACTGCGGCCGCCGCCGCCGCCGCTGAACAACAACCGCTGCCGCCGGCTGGAGGGCGGAGGGAGGGGGCCGGTCTGCCGGGGGAGGGGCCGGGGCGGGGCCAGGCGCTGCGCCATCGCGCACCGCGCATGCTGCCAATCGGGGCTTGGGGACGGGGCCTGCGCGTGTCCGCGGATGCCTGGATCGTCTCGAGCGCCTTCAGGCGCCCAACGGTGGGAAGGCTTGTCATTCTCTTTTTCATTTTGTCCCAGTCTCATCACCCCGCGGCAACGCGGGAGAAAGGACTGGCGATTTGCTCCCTGCAGGGTTTTTTTTTCGACTCAGAGGAGAAGCTCTGTTAAGAACTCTACTTGTTCAATACCACTAGTGGCTCTAAGAGAAAGCTTTATCAATCTGCTCCCTTAAAGTCACCAAAACTAAACCCACTGCCGTTAAGTCGGTTCCGACACATAGCGATTCTTTAGGGTTACTGAAGCTGTAAATCTTTACGGGAGCTGAAAGTCTCATCTTTCTCCGGTGGAGCAGGTGGTAGATTTGAACTGCTGACCATGCTGTTAGCAGACCCAAAGGTATCCCACAACATCACCAGAGCTCCTTGCCATCCACATTTGTTGTTTCTGTTGGGTGTTTTCCAGTGGTTTCCTACCAATAGCGACTCTACTTAGAACGTAACAAAACACCTTCGGAACCGTGCCATCCATCGGCACATCTATTGCTATGTTTGAGCCTATTGTGCCAAAGCATCTTGATGAGGGTCTTCCTCTTTTTCACCGACCCCCTCCACTTTACCGTGTCTGATGTCTTTCTCCAGGAACTGGAAATGTCTGACATGTCCAAATACCAAAAAAAGAAGACGTCTGGCCATACTCACCTCTAAGGATCATCCAGCCTGGACTTCTTGCAACAGATTGCAACTCAGAAATTGGCTGTATTCCGGCCCCTAACAACAATTGCCAGGTCTTTCTTCTGAAAAGTCACTGGGTAGATTCGAATCACCAACCTACGGGTTAGCAAGGAGGAAGCGATCTGGGAGGGGCGGGTCTACTGTGTCACGTGGGGTCACTGTGACTCAGCACTGTCTCTAAGGCACCTAACAACAACATCTTTCTAATTAAAAGAACATCTGGTTGGAATGGAAATGTCACTTTATCCACATGCACACCCATACTAAGGGAACTTCAAAAAGTTCATAGATGAATTTCATTATATTTTCATTCCATTTTTCTATGAACTTTTTGAAGCCACCTCTCATCAGGGGCCCTGGTGGTAAAGTAGCTTCAGCAACGGGCTGCTAGCTACAAGGTCAGTGGTTCAAACCCACCAGCCGTTTTAGAGGAGGATACGTAAATTGTTTTTTGTTATTATGTGCCCTCAAGTTGGTTCCCACCCAGAGCGATACTGTATAGGGTTTCCAAAGAGAGGCTGGTGAGCTTGAACCGCCAACCTTGTGGTTCAAACCGCCAACCTTGTGGTTCAAACCAACTTTGCAGTCCAGGGCATTAACCCACAGTGTCACACCAGGGCTCCTATACATATATATATATATATATATGTATATAGTCCTGGTTTGGCACCATAGAATAAGCACTAGACTGCAAGGTTGGTTTGAACTGCAAGATCAGTGTAGTTCCAACTCACCAGTCACTCCTGAGAAACACTATACAGGGTCTCTAGGAGTCGAATCCAACTCAATGGCACTTGTTGTTGTTGTTGTTGTCAGGTGCCATCGAGTCGGACCCGACTCAGCGACCCCATGCACAGCAGAACGAAACAATGTCCGATCCTGGGCCAACCTCACTACCGCCGCCACACTTGACGCCATCAATGATGTCACCTGGCTGATCCATCTCTTTGGGGATCTTCCTCTTTTTCTCTGACCCTCCACCTTACCCAGCATGACATCCCTCTCCAGCGACTGTACTCTCTGGACAATGTGTCCAAAGTATGAGAGACGAAGCTTAGCCATCTTGGCCTCCACGGAGCACTCTGGTTGCACTTCTTCCAAAACAGATCTTTTGGTTCTTTTGGCAGTCCATGGCACTTTCAGTATTCTCCTCCAACACCACAACTCAAAGGCATCAATTCTTCTACGATCTTCCTTATTCACTGTCCAGCTTTCGCATCCATATGAGGTTATTGAAAATACCATGGCCTGGGTCAGGCGCACCTTAGTCCTCAAGCTGACATCTCTACTCTTCAACACTTTAAAAAGTAATTAGCAACAACAAATATACATACACCACTTGTCTGTCAGTTTGTCATGCTGTTGTTTTTGTTGTTGAGTGCTGTAGAATTGGTTCTAACTCATAGCGACCCAGATTAGGGTTTCTGAGGAGTGGCTGACAGGTTTGAACCACCGACCTTACAATTCGAATGCCCTTGCAGTCCAGTACTCCATGGTTTGTCAGCTACAGATAGCTTTTTTATTGCAATGACTTTATATACACCAAAAACATCCACTGATAAAACTTCCACATTTACAATTCAGTAACATTGATAATATTTATCATGCTTTGCCATCATTATGTTTATCTTTTTTTCATTCAAATATTCGGCCATTAACATACAGTCACTGTACCCAGAGCAAAACTTCCCCTTGCTCCCTCCCCTGGTATCCATGAATACACTCTGGGTTTGGTATTGTCTTCAGTCATTCATGACTAATTCATCAAATCTGTTCTTAAGATGATCTCTAAACTTAGGTGGGATACATTTAAGGTCACATTTTGGCTCTTTGATGAATTAGGCACTAAAGACCAAAGACCAGAGGAGCTCAGAAATGATATCAAGAACATCATACAGGAAGAAAGCAAAAAGTTATTAAGAAAACAAGAAAGAAGGAAAAGACCAAAATGGACGTCAGGAAAGACTCTGAAACTTGCTCTCCAGCATAGAGATGCTAAAGCAAATGGAAGAAATGGGGAGGCAAATGAGCTGAATAAGAAATTTTAAAGGGCTGCTCAAAAAGACAAAATCAAGTATTATAATAAAATGGGCAAAAACATGGAGTTAGAAAATCAAAAGGGAAGAACATGCTCAGCATTTCTCAAGCTCAAGGAACAGAGAAAAAAATCAAGTCTTGACTTGCAATATAAAGGCAATATCCACCACTCATCTATCTGTCAGTTTGTCATACTGTGGTGGCTTATGTGTTGCTGTGATTCTGGATGCTATGCCACTGGTATTTTAAATACCAACAGGGTCACCCACGGTGGACAGTTTTAGCTGAGCTTCCAGACGATGACATACTAGGAAGAAGAGACACGAA